AAAAAAAAAAAAAAAATACACAAGCACTTCACTGATGCAATATACCAAGGAAAAGCATCAAAAAGGAAGATGGAGACGTCAGAGAACTGAAAAAGATGGGAAAGCAACAATCTGAAAATTGGCTTGTATGAAAAAAATTTGACAATTTTAGATGGTCCCACAAAATATTTTTTAAATTTTTAAAAACTTTTAAATTATTTATTTATTTTTTTGAGTTGGAGTCTCACTCTCTCACCCAGGCTGGAGGGCAGTGGCACGCCTCTGGGCCACACCGCAGCCTCAACCTGCTGGGCTCTGGCGATCCTTCCACCTCAGCCTTCAAAGTAGCCAGAACTACAGGTGCATGCCACCACGCCTAGCTAAGTTTTTTTATTTATTGTAGAGATGAGGTCTCGCCAAGTTCCCCGGGCTGGTCTCGAACCCGTGGGCTCAGACAATTCACTCGCCTCAGCCTCCCAAAGTGCTAGGATTACAGACTGAGCCACCGAGCCTGGCCTAAAAATATTTTTAAAAATTTAAAAATTTCAGGGTTGGGTGCAGTGGCTCACGTCTGCAATTCCAGTATTTTGGGAGGTCAGAGTCGGAGAATTGCTAGAGCCCAGGAGTTCAAGACCAGCCTAGGCAACATGATAAGACGTCATCTCTACAAAAAAATTTAAAATTAGCTGGCCATGGTGGGGCATATCTGTAGTCCCAGATACTCCGTGGGCTGAGACAGGAGAATTGCTTGAGTTCAGAAGGCTGAGGCTATAATGAGCTGGGATTGTGCTACTGCACTCCAGCCACCCTGGGTGACAGAGTGAGATTCTGTCTTAAAAAAAAAAAAGAATTAAAAAAAATTGAAATTCAGACCAGGCATGGTGGCTCACACCTGTAATCCCAGCACTTTGAGTGGCAGAATTGGGAGGAAGGAGTGAGAAGTGAGAGTCAGAAGTGGGAGGCCAGGGGTTTGAGGCTGAAGTGAGCTATAATCATGCCACTGCACTCCAGCCTGGGTGACAGAGCGAAATCCTGTCTCTAAAAAAAAAAGAAATTCAAAGAGGTGAAGGAGTTCTATTTGAATTTCAAAAAGCAATACTGAAAAACGATATTGTTTACTTGTCACCAGTAACTTATTTAAACTAGTAAAAGTCAATTAATTCCTGTTTTTCTAGCACATCAATGACTCAAATAACTGATCAAATGATTTGTAGAAAGAATAGTTTGTTTAATTTCATTGTATTTAATTTAGCATCAGGTCTTTAAAAAGAGTTTGGATTTTTTTTAGCTATTGAAAATGAGTAATTTGTTCTCATCTAAATTTGAGTCAATGTTTAAATGCACATTCACCCACTACCGCCACCAACAGCACACATGTACAGATGTAGTGGTAGTAATTTACTCCCTGAAAGAGACAACATGTTTGTTGCAGCTCTATTCAAAATAGCAAAAACATGCTACTATGCTGCCTATCGAAGTTGGACTGGATTAAAAAAATGTGGTACGTATACACAATGGAATATTATGCTGCCATATGGACTTTGCAGAAACTTGGATGGATTTAGAGACTATTACATTCAGTGATCTATCACAGAAACAAAGAACAGAGTTCCATATTTTCTCACTCATAAGTGGACCTTGAACAATTATCATAATACTATAAGAAAGGGATTGGCAGTAGTGGGAAACTGCCAGGGGCGGGGGAATGGGATTGGCAGTTGAGGGAAACTGCCAGGGGAGAGAGGTGCACACCTCATCAACAAGGAGACCTGCATAATGAACATTTTTGTATACCTAACCCTGAATTGTACCCCAAATCTTTTTTAAAAATTTAAGAAATAAAAGAAATAATATGGTACTGGAAGCCTCTGGGATTTAGAAAGGAATACTTTCCAGAAAATAGACTTGATGCAAACACGCTGTGCTTGACTTTACTGAAGATATAAGAATGGAAGAAGACACTTCAAAGAAAATAGAATCAGATCTTTTATGTGCATTTGTTATTTGTCAAATGTACTCTGTTTAGATCTGCTAACAACTATATTGATATATTCAAAACTAATTTTTTTTCTAAATTTCAGTAGTACTTATGCTAGTGTGTATCCAGGAATTCCAGTATCAGTACAAACAGAAGAAAGTTGGCTTCAAGGATTGTCCAGTAAAAAGCTGCAAAGTGAGTAATTTGGTTTCTTGACTTTGCTGGAGGAGGGGTTGCTGATTGGAAATATCACAGGTATAAAAGGCCAGTAGAATCCCAGTTGAATCCCAGCCCCAATGCTATCTACCATTATAATGTTGGGCAAGTTACCTAACCTCACTGAATCTTGGTTTCTTCATCTCTTGATAAATCATATTGTCATGAGATTGTTATCAAGATCAAAATGAGATGAAATATTTAAACTCCTTGGAACTTAATACTCATGTATATTCAAATCAATAAATAATCTGCCATTACATTTTTTGATATATAACTTTTTTTTTATTATAGAGGTAACATGTGCACACTTTTAAAAATGTCAAACCACTGAGAAACAGATAATGCAAAATTTTGGCCAGGTGTGGTAGCTCATGCCTGTAATCCCAGCACTTTGAGAGGCTGAAGCAGGAGGATCGCTTGAAACAGGATTTTGAAACCAGCCTGGGTAACAGAGGGAGACCGTGTCTCTACAAAAAAATTTTAAAAATTAACTAGGTGTGCTAATGTATGCCTATGGTCCCAGCTACTTAGGAGGCTGAGGCAGGATCATTTGATCTCAGGAATTCAAGGCTGCAGTGAGCTATAATGAAAACATGCACTCGACTGGGCTCGGTAGATCAGCCTGTAATCCCAGCACTTTGGGAGGCCGAGGCGAGTGGATTGCCTGAGCCTGTGGGTTCCAGACCCACCTGGGCAACTTGGTGAGACCTCAT